AGTAATTCAAGCACTCACTGACCTGCCTTCAAACGCGTAATCATGGGAACAACAACAACACCGTCTCGTTCCATCTGAACGAGGAGCTCATCGATGTGCGATGTGAGACCTTTGAGATCGAACTCTGGCTCTCCTGAAATTGGCTGCAAATCCCACAACGCACAAAGAGTCTTTCAAGCCTCCTCCTTCACCTGTGCCAGCGAGACTCAAAACCCGCCCAGAACACCGTATCTGAGACGGCAAAGCGCAGCGCGCAAAGGAGTAAATGATGAGAAAGCACGGATGATGATTAAGGCGAAGACCTACAACAGACACAGCTGCAATTCGTTGCTCCACGAGACTCTTTCGCGTTTGCCGCAAGATAGAAAGCGTGTTCCTTGCATCCTCTTCAGTAGTCGGGGGAAGATTCGGCAGTTGTCTAAGCAGATATCAAACATGAAGTCGCAACGATTCCATATGATGAACTCCAGACTGGCCTGTTACAAGTTAATGTGGACAGACTCTTTATCGTTTGGAGACTTCAAAATCGCGCAGTGTGCTTGAAACTGGCCATTCCTAAGACCAAGGAGAGTGCAGAAAATGAACGAAAAAATGATTCACGGGAGTCTTCCGTACTGGAGAACTTACCGTTCATGCTTAGGCTCTTTTAAGCCCAGACGCAGTTCTTGACTCCAGTAGAAGCTAAAGCTCTTGGTTCGGACGCTCGTGTGACAGAGGCGCACATCCATGAGGACAGTGCCTGCGAGGAGCCGCAAAAGTGCATGCTTTTTCTCNTCGTGTGACAGAGGCGCACATCCATGAGGACAGTGCCTGCGAGGAGCCGCAAAAGTGCATGCTTTTTCTCCACCCTTCGTTTTCCCTTTTTGGTCGAGAATAAACCATGCATAATCTCTCATCTTTTAGAGGGAGAGAGACACTGAAATGTTTTCTGCAAAGCGCACGCGCGAAGTCGCCCCGTGTGGCTGTCGCAGCCTCTGCTGCTGCGGATACGGGTTCAACAAAACCCACCTGCTTCTCTTGCGCAGTTAGTGCCTAAGTACAGGCTGTAACTGCTCGTCCGGAGGAGCCAGGAAAGGCTTCGGCAGCGCCGTCCCAGGGAAATCCTTGCGCTGGCGATGCACTTACGGAGATTAGATAGATTTTCCTGCGCAGACAGAAGCGGCAGCAAGAGATAGCCATGGACGCACTGCCCGGAACACAGGCACCCACACAACGGAATGGAAGTTGAGACGACAAATAATCAGGAGAAAGTCCTTATGCTATGTTATTGTAAAGGAAGAAGGAAACGATGACACCTCACCATCATCACATAGAGTTCCAGACTGGGATTGGCCATTGGAAACGCAGAGCTGAAGGGAAGCTGGAAGGTGCTGTTGATAGTTAGAGTGACCTGCATAAAAGCATATCGACAAATTCCATTGAATCTGGGGAACCTACGATAATGCCAGAATAACAAGTCTACGGAGACGGTGTCATTAGCCCGCTGCAACCAAGGAGCTAGACAAAAGCAGGCAGCTGGGTGGTAGCGGCAGGAGTACCACCACCAGCAACAACAAAACTTCAACAGTACAGATGCTGTATGCACTCACAGAGGTGTCGTCTATCTTTTTCCTAAACACCTTGTAAGATACCCGCCGACCATCCCCGCAGGCCTGAGCCAGGTCCTCCCCCTTGTACATGACGGCGATAGAGAGCTGCAGCAGGAGAAGCAAAGCACCCTTGTTAGGAGTGCCTTTACGGATGCGCCCAAGCAGTTGCCCTTCCCATCGCTGGAGCCCCCACAGCTAAATTTTTCGGTGCAAAAGACCTCAGTGGCAGATGCATTTGGGCTCCAGCACCGTCAGCAGCTGTCAATCAAGCATCCTGCTTTCATGCCCGTTTCTTCCTAGGCACCTGCGGATAGCTAATTGGCCTGAGGGAAGGCTCCATCCATTATACTGCGTGTCATTAACAAACACGAGGCAACACATATTCCAGCTTACTTTGTCCTTGTTCTCAAGGCGGGCTAACGCTTCGGCATTGAACTCCATGTACAGTATCCGCACCTCCAGGATGACCTCCTTCACCGGAGGAACATCCTCCAAGGAGGCTCCATATGTCAGCATCTCCGGTCGAAACTGGTGTAAGTTTCTACCAGCGGTGTGGCTGTTGCTGTGGTTGCTGCATGACCGACGATTAAAGCAACGTTTCTGCGGTGCACAACGGGCCCAGTCGACGCTTAGATCGTCCTCAGGATACCTAGGTGTGGATTAGANCGTTTCTGCGGTGCACAACGGGCCCAGTCGACGCTTAGATCGTCCTCAGGATACCTAGGTGTGGATTAGAGGTGTTTGGGCAAGCAAACCTGCTTTAAGCGGGAGAAGACAACGGTATGACGCGGCCAAGGTGCCTTCAGCAACTTTCGTGACACACGACCACCAGGAGTCCCTTCGGGGCCTCTCCGGCGGCCCATTGACTGCAAATGCAAACCTGATATAATTAAGAATAGGCAGGTATCAGATCAAGACAGTCCCCTTTCGGCAAATGCATGCGTGGGCGACCCTGGGAGTTTCAGGGGCCCCCGGTCTGGCTCCCGCCTCACAGGGTACGGCGGTCGCAAGGCCTGTCCGGACTGCACGCTGCAGATGGCCCAATCAAAACTTGCAGACAAAGCTATGTCGGTTAAAGTGCTTTAACAAACGAAAGACTCTGTACAAAGAAGGCAGGCACATCCGGGGACCTGTTTTGCGTGGTGACGGTCTGGGGCCTCAGCGGCGGCCTGGTCTGGGCTCTGTAGCCAGCCTTCGGCGGTGCACGCGCGTCTGCACAAAGGAGCTGCATTTCAAGGCTCACACCTCTCCATTAGAATAAGCTTAAATCCTTATTATCATGTAAACGCAAAGAAGAGTACTTAGAGGTTCTTAACTTAGCTCTGAGGGAAAGTCAGCATGGCAGCAGGCCCCACGGCGGCAGCAGCCGCAGCAGGAACCGCAACAGTTCACACGGGGCTCCCCCTCTTGCTGTCTCTACAATAAAAGGACTGCATGCACGTTATTAGGGCCTTTGAATACTTCTTGTGGGGGTTCATCCTCAAGACAATAGCAGCAAGCAAGGACGAGCTTCGCTGCAGTGTCCTCCTACGAACCGCGTGCAGCAGCCGGGTCGCGCCTCCTGCTGCTGCAGGGGCAGTGCAGCAGCATCAGCGGCAGCCCTTTGCACTTCCTGCCTTTAACTCTCCTTGAACTTGTTTATTTTACAGTATTTTCACTGCCTGAATAGTGTCGAGGGAACCTCCTTACCCTCCAGCCCTCACCACCCGTCCTGCCGTTGCGACACAACTGCATGACCGCAGCAGCAAGACATCTGCAATCGCAGGGCCCTTCATATTACGCCAGTGGACCACCTGATTCACTCTAAACTGCTTTCTACTTTTGCTGCTCGCCCCAGACGCCGCGGACGCCTGAGCAAGGGACCCTACCCACTGGTGGTGTTGGAGCAGGGAGGCTTCCGGCAGCTTTAGGGGGCCCCTAGTGCTATCTTTGTACCAAAGGGACCCCTGCTAGGGAACTATACCGTACATCTGTTCCTTTGCTAGGCGTTTCTTTGTCTGGCTGCAGCCAGGCCCCGTAGGGCCTACCGTGGCTCCTACTGCTGCAGACGCCATGGCTAGTAGGGGTCTTTAGGGTCGTCACGAGCACACTGTCCCCCCAGACCCGCGGCGGGGCCTCTTAACAATCGGTTCTGGAGCAGAGGCTCAACACGACGGAAAATGGGAGGCGTGGGCAGCACAGTCCAATTCGAGAAGGCTCCTCCGGAGTTCTTTCCCGTCACTGGCACTCCGGGGCTCGCAGAGAAGAGGGATGAGGGGCCGTCTTTGTCTGCTTCTGCGTCCTCTGTAAAACGGAGGCCCCCCATGAGTTTGTGGCTAACACAAGAAGGAGACAGAACTCTCGATGCTGTCATCCAGGCTCTGCGTTTGTGGGGAGGCAGGAGCCAACAAGTACAGTCACCCGAGTCATTCTCTTGTCTCAACAGCTCTTCAGGCTGCTTGCTTGAGCACCACCAGTTGCTTCTCGCCTGGCGCATGAGCCGCATAGGGGCCCCGGGGCGGTGTGGATGCTGCGAGTCCCTCTTGCCCCTTGGGGGCCCCACGAAGGGTGCCCCCGGCACTCGGGATGCCTCTGAAAGGGGGTCCATGGGACCCTGCAGCAGGACCAGCAGCACTAATATGCCAAGCAGCACAACTTCAGGAGATATCAGTCCAAGGAGATCAGGANCCCTCCAGTTGCTACTTAGTTATCCACGCGTACACTGCAGCCCGGCAACAGCAGCAGCAACAGCAGCAGGATATTAGCCACATTTCTGAGGGGCCTCCCGACAGAAGACGGAGCATCACCCCTCCAAGGGCCCACAGCCCCACCGAGGGACTGGCTCTCACACCGTCTACAACGGCGCACGCACAATGCATCGCCAGTAGCATCGGCAGCGGAAGCTTCGCGGCGGCTGCCGAACTGCTGAGTGAGGACTTAGGTCAGCTTTTGACCCAAGCAGAAACTCGTATTGCGGCAGACACCCGCCGCCACAGTGTCTGGCATGCTGTGCACGTATGCACCTGCTGCGCGCACAACGAGCAACAGCAAGAGCAGCAGCGGCAGCACGTTAGCCATGGAGACATGAGTGGCAGCAGGACTGACGGCCTGGAGGCACACGAATCTCCCAGTGCGCAGCCACCGAATCATTCGGGAGAACAGCAACAGCGGAAAGAACAGCAGCAGCAGCAACACCTGTGGGCTGTGTACCTTTGGGAAGGATTAGAGGCCCCTCGTTATATTTTGGTGAGCTTAATTTTGAATGCAGACTCCTGGCATCCTTTCCTTCTACATAAGGCTGCAAGCTTGCCGCAGACCTCCAGCGCCGGTGACTCTAAGTTGTGTCTATGCTGCTCTTGCGTATGCTTTTGTTGCTGCCGCTACTTCTGCTACAGGATCACGCACGACTACGCACGCTCCGTCTCGTGGAGGCTCTGGAGAGTTGCGAGCAAAGGGGGGTGCCCATCTCGCCTGTGGTGCTGTTGCCTTGGGCCTCCTTTGCTGTTCTACGCTCGCAGCTGGAGGGGCCCCGCTGTTGGCCTACAGTGGAAGTGCGTGAGAGCCGAGACTCCTCAGGAAACGCGCAGGAACAACAGCCGGTCATCCTGGATGGAGAGGCATTGTTGGAGCGCAATGTCCTCCTCCTGCGGCTGCTGCTTAGGCTGCCCAGACTAGCCTATGGGGCTTCCCCGTCTATTCCAGCTGTTTCTCGGACTGCTGTTGCAGCTGCGCAGGCAGCGGNCTAGCCTATGGGGCTTCCCCGTCTATTCCAGCTGTTTCTCGGACTGCTGTTGCAGCTGCGCAGGCAGCGGTAGCACCGGAGTCGTCACGAGCACCAACCGCAGCAACAGCCGCAGCAGCAACAGCAGCTCCACTGACGACATCTTCCCAGGGGGAAGACGACGTTGTTGCTACATCTCCCGGAGGGAGCGTTCAACAGGCACAGTGGCAGTGGCAGCAGCAGGAGAAACAACAGAGTCAGCACGAGCAGCAACAGCAGCAGCAGGAGCACCGGTCCGCCCACACTGCACCTTTCGTGCCCCGCCTGGCCCTTCCTAGCAAGGTCCTACCGCGCCTCCAATTGCAGCCGCAAGGGAGCAGCCCTAAAATGGAGGAACCCCTACCTCACAGCGGCAGCGTTTCAAATCGCAGGAGCCCCCTGAGCAGGGGAGGCCCCCAGCGTGATACTGCTGACTTGCCTGGCAGCGAGAGCAGCTCTTTGGCTTCGTCTGTCTCTGTTTCCCCTGTCTCATCCTCGGGCGAAGTGTCCCCTGCGGAACGGCAACAGCAGAGGGCTCCCAGTGGACCCCTTCGATTTCAAGGGGGCCTTCGCTTACAGGGTGTCCCCAAGCTAGCCATTCCGAGACTGGGGGGTGGTGGAGGGCACTCTCCAAGTTCCGCAGCAGCGAATACCGGGGGAGAAGCAGCAGGGGCTTGCTTGAGCTCCCAAAGGAGGGGCAGCGGAGGCATCTCGCCGTCGGTCTTTCAGGAGGGAGATGCACTGAATAGCCGCAGNCCCAAAGGAGGGGCAGCGGAGGCATCTCGCCGTCGGTCTTTCAGGAGGGAGATGCACTGAATAGCCGCAGGTCGTCTGCCTCCTCCGCTGTTTCCCAAGCAGCAAGTTGGAGGGGCGAATCGTCCTCCTCTCAAAAAGCAGCTAACGCAGCTTCCTCAATGAGGCAGCCTTCACAGCATCAGCAGACTGCTCTGGCAGGTGCCCACCTGTCAGGTGTATCAGCAAGGCCGCCCGGCGGCCTGCGCCTGTCGGGGCTTCTCAGCTCGCCCACTGCCTCTCCGGCTGGTCTGCAGCGTTACGGCAGCGGCAGTAGCAACGCCGGGTCGTCTAGGGAGAGCTTCGGTTCACGGAGACGACGGACTGACGAGGTATGCAGCAACGGCATTGCGAACATTGCCTGTAATAGAAGCAATCATTGAACCTCCAGCAACAGCAACCGCGCAAAAAGTAGCAGCGACGCACCAGACTACTTGGCCCAGGCATCAGCGAAGGAAGTAGACCTCACATTCGCTTCTGCTTGCATGGCTCTCTGCTAACCGCTGTAGCAGCACTCAAGGCAGCAGGAGGCGGCAACGGCAGCTGTGTGTGTCTGTCTGTGCCTTATTTCAGGAGGGCATGGGTCTGTACAGCCGCACGCGGCAGCAGCAGCTCGTCAACTTCAGACGCGTCATTAGTGATGTGTATGAAGGCCGCCTATTCGTATCAGGGGCGGCTGCTGCTTGCAACCTACAGGTAATGGGGATGGGGATCGTTCACTCATTTCACCTGACCCTACGGTTAACAACTGTATTGTNCACCTCTCATTTAGGATGTGCTGTGTCTGTACAGTGTTTGAAGCGAACCGGTATAACTCACGTGGTCAACACGATCGGTGACATTTGTCCCAACGTCTTCGCTTCGCTTCTGACCTACAAGACATATTATCTGAAGGACACACGGCAGCAGAATATCATGTGTGTTTTTTATGACTGCATAAGGTTCATATCCGAAGCCATAGACGAAGGGGGAGAGACTTCAGCTTCAGCCGTTGCTGCTACTGGCGCTTCTCCTGCTTCTGCCGGCGGTGCCGGTAGTCCCACAGGCAGCAACAGAAACAGTGGTAGCGACCACAGCAGCACCAGTAGCGACAGCAGCAGCAAGAAGCCCCACAAAGTGTTGATACACTGCAAAGAAGGTGTGTCGAGGTCGGCCACTCTCGCAATCGCTTTCCTTATGTGGAAACTCCGCCTGCCTTTTGCTGAGACGTTTGAACGGGTATGACCTCGACAGTAGCACCTCCAGCGGAGCAACCAGGGAGGTTTTGTGTGTGCTATCAGCCGCATTTGTGTTTGCAGCAATGACATGAGCAGCAACTTGTTTGTTTTTTCTCGCTCCTTGCATGGATCCGTGCCCCACACTGCCGATGTCTACCCGCCTTCGTCACGTCTCTCTTGCTCTTGTGCCTTTTGCGCATCCCTGCAGATGCGGAGTCGCCGTGCTATTTGTAGCCCCAACACAGGTTTCACTTACCAGTTGCTGCTGCTGCAGAAGCGCTTAGGCTTGCAGCATCCCCGGGCACCCATCTCAAATCTCGATATGGCTACTTCAAAGGAGGGACAGGANAGGGCGGGGTCTCCCTTGGAAGGCCCCTCCTCCCCAGTCGTGCCGGCTTCCGGCAGCCCCTCACCAAGGGCCACTGGGCGCCGTGCTCCTCCATCATCAATCGCATCCCTTGACTTGTCTATTGCTGATGGGCGTGATGACAGAGCCTGTACCGCAGGGTCTCCACTCGAAGCAGACGATGCAGGGACCGCCCCAAGGGGCCTCGGTCCCAGAGCCCCCCGCATATGTGCACCACCCAGACCTGGGGGAGACAGAGAGGAAGGCAGTGACGCGCCACCACAAGGGGAAAGCCCTTTCTCTTCAGTAGACGATCCCCCAGCAGTGTCACCCCTCGCTCAACTATCAGCGCCTGCTGCGGCAGCAATTGCAGTAGCAGCAGCATCCGCAAGGACGTGTTCTGCTGTGGAGGACTGCGTGTTGCTGCTGCATCTTGTTGTGCATTCGGCACACTCCCCCGACTTCCTACTTTGGTCAGAAATAACAGAGTGGCGACCAGGAGTGCTGCCCTCATTCTCGGAACACGGGGTGTACATGCTGAGGGGCGGTGGCCAGGCTTGGGTATGGATGGACAGCAGCAAGTGCCTGCGCAAAGCAGCAGAAGTCGAAGAAGCGGCGCGGAACTATCAAGAAAACGTAGCGCTTGTAGAACGGCGCAGTAAGCACTAGCGACCCATGCTACCATGTTACCAACTTTGCACACAGCATCCTGTTGTCTGCTTATNAGATGTGCTTCTGCTTTGGTTTGGGGGTTGAGCGTTTGGGATAGACGAATTGCTGTGTTTTGGGAATATGGAGCCCCTCTTGTGATGCCATCTCCTGGTAAAGAATCCTTAGAGCAGGTCCTAGCTTGCCTGCTGCCATCATCTGTTATTTTGCGACCGTCTTCAGGTATCCAGCTCCACTACATTGCACCCGGCTCGGAGCCTTCAGCCTTTTGGCTCACTCTGGGTATAGGGGAAGGAACCACACATTTGGGTGTCCCCAACCTCCCCTCAGGAGTGAGCCAGAATCGTGTCATAGAGCTCGTACTTTTCTTGCTGCTGCCGCTGATGTTGCAATCCCGGTTACGCGCTGGCACTACAGGCAGATTTGAATGCAGGGTCATCTGCTGTACTGTGCTCGTTGCGTTTCTGCTCTGTCCAGTTGGAGCCGATGGTGCCAGAGAAATCCGAGGAGCCGTTTCGTTGGAGAGACTACTGCGCCTTTGACCTCCCTGCGGATTGGGGAGAAGTGGGAGCTGCTGAAGGGGCCTTTATGGCTACTGGGACCCACCAAGACCCACCAGCGACTCAGGGACCGAGCATGCTGGAAGGAGGTACAGAGGGGCTGTACAGGCCATGTGAAGTAAATCTAGGCCAACTACAGAGCAGCAGCAACACCAGCAGCAGATTATCTTCTGGTGTGCCCTCGGTGCGACGGTCACTCGAGCTGTTTGAGAACCCTGCAGATGAGGTTTCACCACAAACAGCAGCAGGAGCCGGAGGAGCAGCAACGACAGCAGCAGCAGCGAGAAATACAAAGGGAGTAGCTATGCTTTTCTCTCTCCCTAACCTAGAAGAACCGCTGGGCCTCTTTGACTCAGAGGATCTCTTACCAGACAGGGTTTTCCTGCTGGTGGCGGAGGGCAGCGAAGGCAGCGACTGCGGTACGACAGATGCCACAGTAGCAGGGAAAGAAGCAGTCAGGGCGTGGCTGTGGGTAGGGGCCAATGCAGAGTTTGACCCAGAGAGGGATCAAGAAGCTGTGAAGGCCCAAGTGATGGAG